TAGAAATGAATAAAAGATGTCATAACTGCCTAATGGTGGCCAGAGTAAGAAAATCTGTTGACCCCAAGCCAATGCCTAGGGAGCAGATGTCCATGCCACAAAACTCATCCTGGAACTTGGCAATTTGTGGGGCTTTCTCAGTGGAGATGAACAGCAAGGATCAGATCTGGACACTGACTCACTACTATTCCTTGGCTAGCTTTTCTTCCAAAGAGCCAAAGACATATTGGCAATGCAGGATGGGGAAGGTTGCCCAGCTGCTGCTGAAAGGGAACATGTTATTTTGAAAATTAGACTATTTCAGCCTCTTGAGCCATCAATCTGATACCCTTTATCAATATGAGAATAGCTTGGAGATATGTATGCTAATTTCCTTTAGAATAATTAACTAAAGCACTTAAAACAGATCTAGAGAAAGTTAATCTGCAGCATCTCGACTTCAAAATGTTAAAGGTAATCCAATTCCCTAGGTCTAGAGTAGACAAGGCAGTTACTTAGCCTAAAATTTTGCTTTTCTGTCTTAAAATTCTGAAAAGATTCAGGTTCTTGACAGCTTACATGTTTGTGCTTTTCATGTAATTTTCCAGAGGGATGCAGAAGAAGGGATCAGATAGGCACATAGAAACAAACAGGATATTTCTGTCATATTTCATTAAAGAAAATATATACTTTTTAAAAAAATCAAATTGTAAATAACTTGTTATTAAAAAGTTAAGGTATGATCAGTTTAATTTTTGCCTATTTTAATGTTGGTTTTTGAGTGGTTGCTAAGATTTTTTTAACTTAATTTTTTTTTCTTAAGAGATAAATGCCTTTTCTTTAAACACATTTTGCCAAGATAAATTGTCTTTAAAAAGTCAGTAAAATGAAATTCATGGCTCTGTGCCCTATATATAATCTTGCTTAGTATTTTGTACAATGCTATCTAACTAACTTTCTATCACAGCACCAAGATATGATGCTTCTCTATTTGTCTTCATATAAAGGGCTAAGAATCCAGAAAAAGCAAAAACTGAAAAAAATATATTCAATTGTTATACAGGTAATATAACAATCAGTAACTGAAATTTAAGAACAGAGAAGTAGAGACTACTCTGGAAGTAAGATAAATATCCAATCCAACATAAAGTAGATTTCAGGGAATTTTGACTCCCTTACACTTTCAAGTTAGCTGTACATTTGCATAAAAAGTCCCAAAGAAGAAAGCCAATCCATAATAAAAGTTTCTAAAATGTTGTAGGGCCATATATTTGCACATGGGTTTGGAGAATGTTGTTTACTTTAAGTATAAGAAATGTCTCTGTTAGACTAGGCTCTGAAAAACCATTCATCTGAGGAGAAGGACATGACGCACAATTCAATTTGAAGATATGGAGCTTCTTGGAGCATGTCACTGGCCAGAGATAAGTGTCTAATCTAAATATGTCTTATTTAAGGTCTGTGAGCAAGTTAAGAGCCAAGAGATCCACCAAAGGGTACAGATTCAGAATAGAAAAAAAAAAGAAAGTTGGCCTGGGAAGAGATAACATTCTACATCATGGTACACTAAATTTAGGAGGAATAACCACAGACCTGTCTTGATGGACTCCAGCTCCCATAGACTCTAGGAAATAGCAGTCCCCAATAGCAATCTATAGCAACTGTTAGAGAAGGAAACTGCAACACACAAGGTCATGACCATGATTAGTAATTTGACTAGTGACTTTAGGATCACAGGACCATAAATCTAATAGAAGTTAGCATTAATATAGGGCTTCAAAGTTTGCAAAACCCTCTACAACTATTATCTCATTTAAACTACAACAATCCTGGGAGGCTGGTGCTATTGTTATCCCCTTTTTACAGATGAAGAATCCAAGAGACACAGAGTTTAATGACTTGCCTAGGATCAGATAGTAGGTGTCTGAGGCAGGATTTGAATTCAGGTCTTTCGGTCTATTTATTACACCACTGCTTGCCAATCTAGAGGAAAAAGGAACCACGTAGTCCAATGTCCTCATTTTACAGAGGAAGAAACTAATACCTAGAAAGTGGAAGTGACTTGCTCACCCTAACAACCAGAATAAGAAAATTATGAGTGAATATCTGTTTCAAGGACAGGCAAGGGAGAAAAGTGTCAGATTCTGAATGCCTTATTCCCAAGGGTTGAAATCTTTGGAGATCATATAGGGAATAGTTTTACTCATATAAGGAGCCCAGAGGCAAGAACAGGACTTCCTTGGGTCATTGGTAAGTAAAGTACATTCCTTACAGGCAGCAATCCCAAGACAGATAGCATCTTATGGGAAATGGAGGTGGGGAAAGTGAGAGACTATAGCAAGAGTATGCTACCAATTCGCACACAGAGCTACAAGATGGGAAAACAGATTCTAAGGAGACTGAGAGTCAGTATCAACTGATTTTGTCAAATTGAATCCACAAATCTATAAACTAAGACCTTAGAATGTGATCTATCATCCAGCACTTGACTGATTCCCCTAACTCTAAGAATATGATTTGTAAGACAGCAAGTGAAGAGAAACAACAGAATAAGATAGAGTTATTTGGTGATTGAATATTGTCTTAAAGAAGAATTAGGAAGGTTTGGAATGTCAAAGTTAAATACAAGGAATGCAGTGGGCACACAAGCCAATAAAGGAAGTCAGTTTTATCCAGGGAGCAATTCACAAAATAAAGGCATTGTTCAGGGAAAATGAACATAGGGTAATCTGCTGGTGTCTTAGATGGGGTAAAGAGACTCACTATGGCACCAGAGTGAATGGGGCATTCTCTGCCAAACCAGTAAAGTCCAAAGGTTTTTGTTTTGTTTTGTTTTTAAACAAGGTTCTTATCTGGGTTTAGCAGGACCAGGCATTAGCAGAAGGAAAGAGGAGTTGCTGATTCATGCTAGTGGGGGTGAGGGGGTAGGAGGGAAGAATCCTGGGAAATTGCCAGCTAATTAATATTCAAACTTCAATCTGTGGGAAAAGGGGCTTTTGGCTCTATTACTGTTAATCTTCCTATGACAAAGTAACTCAACTTCCCTGACATGGATTTTTGAGCTTTCCTGGCATTTATTTTAGCTGGTCAGGAAGGCTACTAGGGTCATTACAGATGCAGAGAGTTAGATGTTGGAATTTCTGCCTTTATTATTTATTTCTGATGCCTTGAATGTTTCCCAGTAAAGTTTACCTGGGTATATGTGTGTGTAAATGTATGTATGTACATACTCTCCAGTTTCAAGGAGCAAAGTAAAAAATAAATAAATAAAAAGTGTGTCTATTCTCTTCTAGATAAAACTAGGATAGTGAGGGTTACAAGTTCAGAGCAAAGATGTATGGATTTGAAAAAAGTTGGCGATAATAGGAAACCAGTCTTTGATCTTGCTAATTAAAGAGTAGGTCTAGGAGATGATCCAAGGTGTGATACCACAGATCTTATCAGAGAGTAGGGGTAGGTAGAGGGATAAGGAATGGACCTGTGATTTCACTGTTATTGGGAATTTCCTGGGGAAGAAATAGCTTCCTGCATCATCTTTGCAAGTCCTGTGCAGTGCACAGAGAAAGGTTAAGAGACTTGACTAGAGTCACAGAGCCAGTACATGTGAGACATGGGATGTGAACCTAGATCTTCTTGGCTTCAAGAGCAGCTCTTTAGACACTATACCAGACTGCTTTTACACAGATTGAATTCCCTCATTTCTGTTGCTATTTTTCAAGTCTAGTCAAGTTAGTTTATATGTAAAGCACAGAGCACCCTGACACATTTCAACCGTGGTAGTGACTGAATGGTATCAGTCATGAAACAAATTCACCCAAGTGCTCAGTGATCTGACTGAACTAACCAGAAAATAACATAAAACTGTAACTCCAGTAAAAGAAAAAAGGCCTTTTTACCAGTAATTTAATAATTATATTAACTACCTTCTAATTTCTTGCCAATAAAACTTGATCTGATGAATCCATCCCCATATACATACAGTTAAATTAAATAAATATCTTCATTTGGTTATCAGGGATGATAACAATGACTAATAAATGCTCATTAGTCAGTAGGGGAAAGAGTAATATTAATTCATTAAAAAAACTATCATCATGGATAATCTCATAAAAAATACTAGGACACTTGTCAATAAGGTAAATCATTGAGATAAATAGTGGGAGACTTATCAGGAGGGTAAACCATGGAGGTCAAGATAAGTTGAGGTAAAATTTATATGAAAGGTCATAATTCAGAAAATTAGACCATTAAAAATGTCTTTGTATTAAGATGATGACTTTTCCCACATAAAAAAGGAAACAAAATCAAATTGCCTCCTTAAACAGTATACTTAAATATACTCACAGAAGCCAGGTCCTGAAATACTCCAGAACTTGAACACTCCTTTATGCCTAGCATAGTATCTGAACTATATAAATGCTTATTTCTTTCACTTCCTTCCTTTACCAATGGGACACCTAACTGTATGTTCTACTCATGTAACACGTTTAGAATTTCCTGCTGTTTTGGGGACTATTTTCTTTTTTCCCACATTTTAAGTCTATGTTGTCTTCAACTAGGTTTTTGATTAGGCACTGGCCCCTCCCTTCTTTCTGTCTTGATGAGTAAAATACAGCCAAGGCAAATATTTTAGAGATCCATTATGGGACAAGGGGATGATATCCATAAATTCACTCATTTCTTTATGCCTGGGGTAAACATCATTCCCCCACAACACATACTACAGAGTTAAGAGATGATTTTAATTTAGCAAGCTATGTTTAAGTATGCTATGGTTTGAACTTTTTAGGCTTAATTTTTTAATTTAATTATTTTTTTTTAATTGAGGCCTTAATTTTAGCCTCTCCCCAGCTTTAGAGGGGACAGCTTGAGTAAAATATAATCCCACCTGGAAGAAGCAAGTCTGTACAACAAAAGTAAATTATTTCTCCCCAAAATAAATATAGAATATACCTATGACAAAACACCCTTTTGCATTATAGGAACATTACATTTATAATGTAGCATTTAAATTTAAGTACCTCCAGCTAGAATCTTCTCCTCCAGCTCTGCCATTTGCTTCCTGTATGCTCTTAAGGCAGCTTCTTTAAAGGAGGGACGAATCCTCTTGGGTTTTGGTACTTCTGGAGGCTTTTCAGGGACATTCTGGTTTTCATCTTCCCTTACTTCCACTTCAGTTATTGTTCCATTTAAAGGTTCCAATCCCTCTTCACTCATCAGGTCATCTACTTGCCCATCATACCCCTCATCTTGTGGTGTTTCATAAGGTGTTTCATATGAAGGGTGTTCATACTCCTGGACATTATCATCCATTTCAGGAATGCTAGTTCTATTCTCTAGTTTAGCAAGAACTTGCTCCATCACTTCTACATAATCTGTTTCATGTTCAGTTCCAGGCTCACTGTAGTCTTCCTCATCCTCTGCTTTGTAGTAATATGGTTCAGTGTAGACATCAGAATCAAGGGTGGTACTTGACTCATTTGCAGTAGACTGGGATAAAGTTCTAAATCGCCCCATTAAGGATGACCCACTGTCCTCATATCCACTCAGGCTCTGAGTGCTTTTATTCCACACAACTTCCAAAGCTGATTTAGCTCGCTGAAGGGTCGATCCAAACTTTGGGAAGCTAAATGTCTTATCAGAAAGATCTATGCTCAATCTGCTGTGCCAAGACTTGGGTGCAGCATCCTCTGAAGCATCACTTGGTAACTCACTCTGGCTCCGATACAGCATTGGCAGTTGATTTTGATTTTGGTAAAGTTCATTAGAATTGGCTGCCGGATAAACATCATATGGGCCAACCCATTGGCCTTGTGTGTCATTATCCAACCCTGGGCATGGGGAAGAATTGTCATCTAACGTAAAATCATAGCTCTCTGAGTCATCTGGAAGGTCACTGTGGCACTTTCCTAGGTCATCCAGATCTTTGTTGTCACCATCCAGCTGTGGGTCTGACAGGCTGTTGGTGTCATAGTCAAAACCTTCCTGTGTAGATGAATCAAGGCCCAAATCTGCACCTTGTCCTGACTGATTCCATTCTTTCCATGGTGAGAGATCATCTCGTAAAGAGAGCTGGGAATCACTGTAATTGCTTCTGTCTCCTGATACACACACTACTCCATTACTGACACCACTGTCCACGGTTTCAGTGTTCTCTATTTCATTGGGACCTTGGTCATTTTGAATACTCCTGTTAAAGTTCTGGTCCTGGGAGCTGCTATACCAGTTGGTGCCATCCTGTCTCCTCTGCCAAAGTTCTCTGTCTGAAGAAGATAAGAGAGAACTTCCATTTGTCCTGGTGAAAAATTGATTCTCTGAAAAATCCTCTGAATAAGATTGACACAGTTTGGAAAAATCAGATTCAGAATGGCTCAGTTTTGGTGTGAGAAAATCACTTTGTGAATGCCAGAGGGGAGCCATCTCAGCATAATAAGCTTTGGATTCCTTCTCCATGGTATCAGATTCGGGAAACTGTGTAGCTTGTTCATCATAGTCTGATTTACTTGAAAATTTGCCGCTATCCGCAGTTTTATTCCTACTTCTAGCATTATGAGATTTTGCATTTGACTTTGGACCACTTGCTTTGGTTTGAAACTCTGACTTTGATATCACAGCATAGCTGTTTTTATTAAGATCAGAATCCAGATCTTTATCACTATCATCTGGTGACTGCCAACTGCTCCTTTTGATTTTAGGCTCAAGAGTAGAGAGCTTAATGTCCATACTCTCATAGGTTTGGGAGGTTGGCATTCCTCTGTCTTTTCTTTCTCTGATGTCATGAGTTAGAATATCTGTTGACACTCCAATGCCTGTTCCTTTAAGTTTATAAGACTTTTTCAATATGAAATCCCTCTGTTGAGGTGTTTCAAAGTATACAAGTATGGGGCGAGGCTTCGCATTTGGACAGTCCCTTTGCTGCCCTATTCTTTGAGCAAATTCTATTTTTATAGCATGGGGTGCATCTGAAAACCCCATTTTATCTATGAGAATCCGATATACAACATTTTCAACATATTCAAATCTTTCTTCGGGCACATTTAAAAATCTCAGACTTGCTTTGCTTCCGGTATGACTTATCTGTTTAATATAATCATGAATGTCTCTGGTTTCCCTTCGAGACTGGACAAAGCCAGTACGTAGCTGTTCTATTTCGCTTTGGACAACCTCTACACTACTAGAGATCTCATCTATGGAGTGTTTGAGAGCATTGACATGGCCTCTTAATTCGGAAAGTTCTGTTTCAATCTGGCTTATTCCCTGAAGTTCCTTAAATATCATTTCCATAACATCATGGGTTTGGCTAATGCAGCCAGATGAACTAAACCCAGGTTCAAGGGTGTTTGTTTTCTGGGGACGGGCAGTTCTGTCTAAAGATTTGCTTCGGAGTCCCCATGTTTTTTTCATTGTGCTCAACTCTGAATCAGAGGAGAGGAATTCTTGGCTCTTTTTCCATTTCCTCAATTTGCGTAAGGCTCCTAGTTTCAGGCTATGTAACGTGCGCTCCCCATCGGAGCTTCCCTCAGAGGGAGCTAGGCTGCTCAAGCTCTTTCTATTGCGTCTCACCGGCATTGCGTGTGAAGAGTGCTCCTTGATTTCAGCGCTGCCCTTGATCTCACTTAATGATTCTGAGTAGGAGCTCTCAATAGAGGATAGCTCTTGAACCAGATCCTCATTACTGGTGTTTTTCACAAGAATATTCTTTTGCAGTCCGTTAGCAATCGCGACACGATAACTGAACGTGGGAGAGAGGGAATATTCTCTATTGACTTCGTCTTCTGTGGACAAGTTGCGAGCAGATGAACACTTGGCAATGTTTTTAACGGTGCTTTTCAAAGTGGTAGAAAATTTAGGGGGTTTTGTCTGGCCAGACAGAGGAGCGTCTTGCTGTTTTTTGCTAGGGCAATTTTCTTTCTTTTTTGTAGTATTTCCCAATTTCTTTGTAAACATTCCTTTACAAAGCTTATGGAGAAAAGGTAAGATCAGGCTCTTAAAAAAGTCAGACACCATGGAGAGTAATCTACATGTCCCTTCCTGTTTAAAAAAACTGAATGATATACCCAGATGGAAATTTGAAACTCCAACCTAAGCATTACTGTGTTTTATCAATCACTTGAAGACAGTTGAGATGTTAAGCATTACAAATTTCTTGTCGTTGCATGAAGAAGGGTAAAGCTCCATTCATGGAAGATATTCAATTATGATGGAAAGCCACATTACTCTTTCTCTTCTTTCCATGGCTTGATGTAGTTTCTAAAAGGGAAGGAATTTTGTTAAAATAAATATTAAAAGTAAAAATTCATTCTACTCTCAATATTTAGGATCCCTAGAATCAAAATTAAGCTTAAGTGTCATATATAACACAAGACTTTTCTTAAACTCTACAGTATGAAGGCCCTCTCTACTCGTACATAAATTGGCATGTTTTTGTATTTATACATTTCTATTCATATTTTTCCCCCAGTAGAATGTCAACTCCTTGAGGGCAGTGATCATTTCTGATCTTTGCATCCCTATTACCTTACACAATTCCTGATACCTGGTAGGCACTGAATAAATGATTGCTGAATTGAGTACTTCACCAGATACCATTGAAATACCCATAATGCTTTTTCTAGATCAATATAAAAATGGGTTATGGTTCTTTTTTTTTTTGATAAATGGTGATTGAATTCAAGCAAATTCATTGAAAAAAAGTTTAAAAGACTTCAGTAACTGGTTAGCAATTATCTAGCAATCAATTGGGTTTTTTTACAAAGTAATTATTTACAACTATTACTAAAACTACTTAAATCATTCCCCTAAAGTGGGTTGTATATCAGGACACTGCTAATAATTATCAATAGAATACTAATAAATAGAAAACATTTGGTCCAAGTGTGATGTAAATGGCAACAGTTAATCTAATATAATATTGTCATTTTATCTTTGCTATTATTTATCATAACTGTACTTATTAATATTATGACTTTCTCAGGTTTTCTTTCCCTACCAACATTTTTAATTCTGAGTCAACACACTTACTAAACACCTTATATAACATATAGAGACACTATTGATATGTATAAAGGAAAATACAAAGATAAATAAAGCATGATTCATAAAGGTTATTATTTCACTAAATTCATCACAACAAATATAAAATTCAGATTATGGTCCTGGCCTCATAGAGCTTACATTCTACTGGACCCAGGTAATATGGAATTGTAAGACCTTTCTTCTCTTATTTTTAATTATTTGTTGTTACATGCTCTGGTTATTTTTCTTAAATTACATGAACAATAAAAGGTTTACATTAACTAAGTACATCATCAAAAGGCAGCACAATGTTGTGGAGAGATTACTGGAGTTGGAGTCTGAAAGACCTGGGTTCAAATCCCATCTCAGACATTTACTAGGTGTGCAAGCTCTGGGCAATTCAATTAACTTCTCTGAGCCCATTTCTTCAACTGTAAAATAAGGAGGTTGTATCAAATAACTTTTGGGGTCCCTTTCCAGGTTTATATAACCAATCCTATTTTTTAAATGGCCAAGTAGGCTTTAGATTTTTTTTTCCTTATGTATTGAATCGAGAGGGTTTGAGGAAGAACTGAAGACCTCAGAACTTTGATACCTGTCCAAGGCTGATCCTCACAAAACAAACAATCCAACCCTAATAGTTTTCTCTCACTTGGAAAAATTCAAAATTTTCATGGAAAAAATATCATTGTTTGCAGGAAGAACATGTAGAATTCAAGAGGAAGAGGATGCAGGTTCAGAATAGTTTACTTAGGAAAGGAGGCAAGTAACAATAGTGTGGGATAAGGATTAAGATGGGGAAATGGGGTTCATTCACCCAGTGAGGTCAAGGTTTGGAAGACAGGAATCAATCATCAGAGCAATATAGAAAAGCAACATGTTGCTTTGATTGAGGGGTAGGAAAGAAATGCTCAGAAGCCCTAACCACAAGAAACACATTTCTCTTTCATTCACATTTAATCCCACTTCACACACACACATTTTCCCTTGACCTATTAGCTGATGTACTTAGAGTCCAAAAAGTTCTGGAATAGAGCTTCTCTGACTTGACACTTTAGCCACTGGTCAAAATAAGGAATTAAGTAGAGATAAGCACAATTGATAGGCATCCCTGACTGACTGACAGATGATTCTTTTTTTAATGGAAGAAAGATCAATGTGATCTAAAAGCAAGGTAATATAAAGAAACACAACAGGGAAAAGGTCATCAGAGAGATGGCGGTTGTTGTTGTTCAGTCACGTCCAACTCTTTGTGACCTCATTTTGGGTTTGCTTGGCAAAGATACTGGAGTGGTTTGCCATTTCCTTCTCTAGCTCATTTTAGAGATGAAGAAACCGAAGCAAAGTTAAGCAACCCTCAACAAGCCAGGGTCACACAGCTAGTAAGTATCTGAGGTCACATTTGAACTCAAGCTCTGCTGACTCCAGAGTTGGTTTTCTATTCACTGCATCTCCTCAGAGAGAGAGATCTAACTGCAAATTACTATGATGGTTTAAAAAAAGGGCCACAATAAAACTAAAAGACAAAAAATATTGCCTCCAAAATGCTTAAATTGTCATATAACCTAGGTTTAAACCTGTCTCTGATGTTTACTAGTTGTATGACTTTGGGCAAGACACAATATCTCCAAGCCTCAGTTTCCTCATCTATAAAAGTAATTTTAAGTAATAGGTGATTTAGATAATTAGCATAATAACACTTATACTACCTTATGAGGTTATTTGTAGGCTTAAATGAGATAATATATATATAGAACCATTTTGGAATCTCAAATGTCCAATGGGAATTCTAATACCTGTAGTCCAATATGAAAACTCAGACCTTCATTTTCACATTTTATCCTGAATAACTGTTAAAAATGAGAAGATATTTTAGGTGCCATGGCCAACTAGAACCAAGTATATATGTTGTATAAGTATATAGATGTAGATGTATTAGTATATATGTAATTTCATTTTCTTGGGACAGAATCATAAATCAGAGGATCATAAAATTTAAATCCAGAAGAAACCCTAGAGATCATTGCGTCTAACACCTCCTTTTGTAGATGAGGAACCTAAGGCCATATAGGTTGTGAGTTGGAAAATAAATCTAGAACAGAAAAAGGTCTTAAACAAAAATCTCATCCAAACCTCTCATTTTACAGATGAGGCAGATGAGGCCCAGAGAAGTTACGTAGCCTACTCAAAGTCACATCGTAAGTGCCAGAGCCTAGACTCCAGCTTGGGTTCTGGGATTCCAAATTTATTACACTTCCCACTGCTCCAACCTGCCTAAAGTAAACCTAGGCCCATAATTGTTATCCCTGAAACTTGTCATGGAAAATAGAAGAAGAAACTCCCAAACTCTGTTATTATTGAGGAATGTGCTGGATTGGATAAATTAATTTCCCAATTTCTTAAATATTTTAGCATGCATTTTGATTGGAGGACATTAAGAAAGCATAAGAAAAATGCACATACAAGTGTTTTGAACACTGTAAAGCACCATATAAATTTAAGTTATTGTTGCTATGGCTGGGGAGTAGAGAGCCTGTCTATAGATTTGTTGGCTGAACATCCTTGGAAATGTGCCAATATCTACTCTGATACTGAGACTTTTAAAAGCACAAACTGAACTCAACTAATAATAATAATAGCTATCATACGTATAGCACCTTAAGGTTTACAAGGTACATGACAAATATTATCTCATTTGATCCTCACAACAACTCTGGGAGGTAGGTGCCATTATTATCCCCACTTTACACGTGAGCACCCTGAGGCACACAGCTACTAAGTGCCTGACACTGATTTTGAATTCAAGTCTTTCTGACTCCAGGTGTAGCAATCTAATCAATGACATCATCCAGCTGACTGGACAGGAAGCTGTCTGCAGAGTTTTAGTCAATCAGTCTTTCTTTGAGTGGAACACATTGTCAGAAACACATCCCTTTCATTTCAAGCAACTTGAGGACAAGGAAACTGAGGCTAGTTTGATTGCTAAGGACAACACTAAAGATGTTAAAAGATCTGTTTTTAGTAGGAAGTAGATTTTTAAAAGGTAAAGAAAGCACAATAATGGATAATGGAAAGAAATCAAAATGATAAAATGTTTACTTTGCTTTCATTTTTTCCTACCAAGGGAAAGTATTTTTAAATTCAGGATAGTAACATAAATAAATGAATGAATGAATGAATGAATAAATCAATCAATAAATAAATAAATAAATAAGTAAATAAACAAATAGATAGATAGATAGATAAAATAAATGACTGAAAGCCCAAACAAAATGAAGAGATGATTAAAAAGAGGCTTCAGTTATCTTCACTGAATACCAGCTGCTTGAGGACAGGGATACTCATTTGTCTTTATATTCTCAGCACATCTCCTGGCATATAGTAGGTCCTTAAAAGCTTATTAAATTGAATGAGTTGAAGTCACAAGGCCCAGAGAAGCTTCACCCCAGGGTGCTGACAGATCCAGCAGTGGTGGTTACTGAGTAATAATCATGGAAAAAAGAATCAATGGTCAATGATCGTTGAAAAAAATCTTTGAAAGAGTAAAAGGTTCATTGTAAATCTAGAGGAAAAATATTCTTCCAATTTTTAAAAAAATAGAAAAAATATAGAATCTTCCATACTTTCCAACTGTAGGTCCCTGGTAAAATTCTAGAATCGATCATTAAATGCTCACAAAAGGAATGGGGAGTTCACTAAGCATGGATAGGCCAAAACCAGCCCATGCTAGCTTCTACTCATTTCCTTTTCAAGAATAGGAAGAGAATTAATTATAGATCAGGGAAATGTAACATGTTGGCACAACATTGTCCAACATTGCTGGTGAGTGAGGTATACAGGATTTAAATTTTTTTTTTTGTCTTAAGAAAGGCTGACTTCATTAATACATTTAACAAAATCTTTTACCATATCTTTCGGAAAAGGCAGAGAGATATGTGCAGTCCAATTAGGTAGATTTTGAATGGGTTAAAACATATGGCACCAAATAACATTAAGGTGATATTCTTTTCAAGCTATGTATCTCTCTCACCACCCTCTTTCTTCTGCCTTCAGTATACAGATTTCCCCCCGTTATATAAAATTAACAAATACAAATATAATGAAACTTTATAGCTTTAAAACTTGGAAACTAATCTGCTAATTTCAGGCAGAATGACTACTGACAGAGAGGCAACAGGCCCAGTGCTCCTACATCTACATTAACTTACTTTACTGTCACTTTTGGAG